CGAGAGGGGTGAAGGAAGCGCCGAATTCGAGTTCTTGTTTGATTAAAAGAAAAACAACAGATCACACCCACCTCACTGTGTTTGTAAAAAATGTGAGGGAAAATTTGAGACGTAAACTAGTTCTGGGAGGGCGTTTAGGTGTAACGAGGAGCTTTGTATTGACTTCCAAAAAATGGTGACTTATTTAATTTCAAGAAGTGACTTGTCAAATTTCCAAAACGGCTTCGGTGGCGGTGAGGTCAGTGCAGTTAGCTTGAATGCAGCATATCGATTTCCTGCACGCGTAACGAATGCGGCATTTGCTACGACAGAATTGATTAATCTGTTGTTTTAATTGTAAGTCCTGGTTAGCGCTGCTTTTAATTTGCTCACTGCACAAGCAAAACAGGTGGTGATTAAGAATATGTGCAGTGTTTTGAAACACCAACAGAGACACACATGCGATAAGTTTAAATTTAGTCACACTTCAAAAACTTGTTTTATCTATCCTTAAATCTGGAACCCTTAAGGTAATATCACCCTACACTCGCAGCCAATTTCGCTGAAGAATTATGAAGGATTTTCTACAAACTTTATATAAAACCAGAATTTCCTGACTTCCAGCTTTAAACATCCATTAATCTGCAAGCATCGAGGTAACTATCACCTTACACTCGCCGACAATTTTCTCAAAATTGCTTGTGATTGTTTACTGTCTTTAACAAAACCTGAAGTTTAAAACCTGACTTCTATTTTCTTGAAAACGACGCTTAAAATTGTGGATGGATTTTAGTACCAACGAACTCAGCAATCTCAACGATTGAGGATTGTGGAGATTTCGGTGTAGTTGTGTGCGTTAGCGCATTTCCAGGTGACTTATTTTGAAATCGAATGCCATGCTATTATGTCGCGTATGGTCCAGAATACTTTGAGGGCGACATATCAAAACCTCGTAGGGAAACAGTCATTCCACAAATGCTAAAGAGGATTTGGGGAACTTGGAACTGGCCCAGTTATCGACTTTTCGGCCCACATCACCCTCTTAGCCTTGGTCCCTCTCTCATGTCAACACGACGCTTCGAACATTCCTTTGCTGTGTTGTTGTTGTTGTTTTAGTTATTGCTTCTAGATAGCGCTGCTTTTAATTTGCTCACTGCACAAGCAGAATGTGTGGTCGTTATGAATAGGTACAGTGCACTTAAGCACCACCAAACACGCACACGCGATAAGTTTAAATTAAGCCCCACTTCAAAAACGGGTTTTTACCTGTTCATTATTCTTCAGCCAATTTCGCTTAAGAATTATACGGAATCGTCTACGAACTTCAAGGAAACGCGCATTTCCTAACTTCCATTTTCGTGAAAACGCCGTTTAAATTTGTCAAAGGATGTCAGTGCCAATGAACTCATCTTTATTTCTAACCGGAATTGTCATCAGAAATGTGTAGTCAATCTCATCGATTCCTGATTCAAACGACTTTTTAAAATAGCAAGTCGGACGTTCGAAGATTCCGGTGTAATTGTGTGAGTTAGCGCATTTGTAGGGGATCATTCCATGCAAAAAATTTGGTTTTGGAATCGAATGCCATCCTATCAAATCGCGTATGGCCCAGAATACTTCGAGGGCAACGTCTCCGAACCTCAGCGTGTTCTATTTAAATACCTGTAAGATCTACTACACATTAGCAATCGCAGAGAAGCCGTCAGTCCACAAATGCTAAAAAGGATTTAGGAAATCTGGAAGAGGCCTAATTATTAATTGTTTGGCCCGCATCCACCTCTATGCCTTGGTCCCTATTCATGTCAACACGACACTTCGAAAATTCCTAAGCTGCAGACTGCTGGATACTCATGTCATTAGTTCATTCAAACACCCAAAGGGAGAGGATTGGCTGATCTTTACGTGATCCAATATGCCTGCGTCAGTTTACATCACTACAGTCACATGAAAGATCGCCCAAAGGGAACCTCACTCGAACTTGCTTGAATTAATTTCTGTTTCACGCCTTTCACGAACACACATTTAGGTTCATTGGCGTGTTTTGAGGGAACGCGTGCTAACAGTGCCTTCTCGCTGATCGCCACTGCGTGATTGCATTAAGTGGAAGGTTTTGGCATCTTCAATTTACCCCTGTCACACACCCCGTGAAAAGGGGCTGAGGCTGAACTAGGCCCACCTCCTCAAGTGTGGATCAGTGACGGCGCTGGCGTGCAATCATTAGAACCCAGAGGTGCCAAGCCGGCGTCCAAGTCTTCCAGCCAATCACGAGCGACCTTTCATTGGTTTGTCAAGGCGTGCGGTGGGTATTTCGTATTTGCCGCACCAACTCAAAATTTTGTTGTTGTTGTGTAGCCATGTAATTAAGACTTGTTGAAAACCACAACACCAGACACGCATAATGGCCGGGTATGCATAATCGCCGTCGGGAGGATGTT